TTGCAAAAGCTGTTTAAAAACCCAGTTTCTGAACATAAAGGCTATGTTCAGAAACATGCAGTGCTCGTGGCTCTCCTGTCTGCCGCCTTGAGTCCATGTGGAGGGCATCGCGTTAAGGCACAGCCGGGCCCTTCGAGCCCGGATGCCTCTACCCCACGTGTCAGCGCTGGCTCGCCTGCTGCCCGGTTACACCACCAGTGATATTTTCCAGCATCTTAGCAGCTTTTCCTCTATTATGGTCTCCTTTCTTTGCTACTTGTTTTATCTTCACTTCAGCAGCTTTATTAACCAGTGCTGTGTGGTGCCCATTTGCTTCACAATAAGTTTCAGGCTCTTGAGCCTTGTGGTGCAAATGTTTTACACAGTTTCAGTCAGCCTGGTAAACAGGCACTTTCACAAGTTCTTGAAGATGCCGTGTTGAGCTTCCATCTGTATATGCAGTTTGTAGGACAATATTCACTTTTTCGGAGACTCTTTAAGGAAACTGCCAATCAGTGTTGCTGTTTTGTCTCCATCTGTGAAACCTGCCATCTGCAGTAGTGATACACAGTTCTGTCCCCATCCCCATGGTAGGAACAGCATCTTTCCTTAGACTTCATTTCCATTTCCTCTTGAGGTTCCTGATGACTTTTCACAAGGTCAGCGTCACATAAATGGTTGTGCTTGGTCCCATTGTTCAACAGCTGAACTGACAGTCCCTGTGAGAAGCACTGTTCCCTTTCCTTTAGCTTCAGAGCCGCATCGCAGTGGTGCCTCAGCAGCTGTTTATTGAAAGCGCTAAAAGCTTTGCCATCCCTTCCCTATGCCGTCTGCGCAGCCAGCCTGCAGCGATCTACGTTCGTCTCCCCTGCAGGAAGCCTGTTGAGTAAGTTCCACAGAAGCCTTAGCGTTTCTGATAGCAGCTGCTTTGGTTGCCTTTCTACCTCAGCTGCTGGTGTCTCCACACTACCTCATGTAGTGCAGCCGGGGTGTTATAATCACGGGACTGACTTCCTAAAACAGTCACTCCATTTGTGACAGACGGTGGAAGTTTCTCACTGCTGGGCCTGGTGTCTCTGCCCTGAGATAAAGAGGCATCTTGTTGCAGATCTACAGCTTCATTCTCACTGATGTCAGCAAGCTCTCTCTGTGCACCTTATTCCTCAGCATCTGCCAGACACAGTGTGCTCCTCCCAGGAGGGTGCCACTGTCCGCCTCAGGACTGTGTGATGCTCTGGCTGTGACAGGACAGCTAATAATCCCATGCAGTACACGATATGATGAAGGTGTTCCACCTTTGTTTGAAATCCAGCAGATGTGGCAGGGTGTGTCTATGAGGTGATGATGTTGAACGTTTTGCATGTAAATCCCTTATTTTTCCAGATGTGAGCACTCAGAGAATTGTAAATATTTATATATTTCAGGCACAAATTCTTTATCAGATATACACTTTGAAAGTATGATCTCCTATTCATTGTCTTATCTTCATAGTGTCCTTTAAACATAAGAGCTTTTTGTTTTGTTGAAGTGCAGTTTATCTATTTTTTTCCTTTTGTTGCTCCTACTTTAGGTGTCATACCTAAGAATCCAAAATAATTTAACCATATCTGCTCTTCTGGGAGCTTTGAAGTTTTACTCTTAGATTAGCTCTTTGCCTCACTGAGTCAATTTTTTTTTACCTGTACGATGTGAGGTAAGCATCAAATTTCTCCTTTTCGTGTGAGCCCAGCACCATTACTGAAAAGATGATTATTTTCCTTTTGAGTGGTCTGAAAACTTTTGCAACTCAGTTGGCCTGAGGCCCTTGGAGATGTTTGGGACCTCTCAATTACATCCCATCTATTGATACGTTTATTTTACACCAGTACAGTGTTATATTCACTTGCTTCCTAGTACATTTTGAAACCAGGAGCCGTGAGTCCTCTCTTTTGTTCTTTTTCAATGGTTCCATGCAATTTCACATAAATTTTAGATTCAGCTTTTACTTTCTATGAAGAAGTCGGCTGTGGTTCTGATAGGGACTGCCCTGGATCTGTAGAACAATGTGGGGTGCATTGCCAGCTTGAAATTAACTGCTTTGATTTGTGAATGTAGACTATTCTATTGATTAAGATTTACTTTAATTCCCTTTATCAGTATTTGTAGTATTTTAGAGTATGAGTTTTGCATTTCCTTTTCAAAAAAGCTTGACTTTTTATTGGTTTTGATGTTATCATAAATGAAATTACGTTCTTATTTTCATTTGTGGATTATTTATTGTAAGTGCATAGAAGTGCAGCTGATTTCTGTGTTTTGAGCTTTTGTCCTGCAACCTTGCTGAACTGGCTTAGTAGTTCTAAGAGTTTTAATAGGTTATTTAGGATTTTCTACATGCAAGAGCGTGTCACTTGCAAATCAGGCAGCAGTTTTACTTTTTCCCTTCCAATCCAGATGCCTTTTATTTCTCTCTCTTGCTGGCTTTTCCTGACTCAGAGCTCCAGGACAGTGCTGGCTGATGCTCAGGAGTGGATCTCGTGCATTGCTCCTGATGTTAGAGGAAAAGTATGTAGAATTTCATGCAGTGTGATGTTTACTATAACTTTGTGTGTGTGTGTATGTGTGTGTGTGCATGCACATGAGTGCACACGCTCGTGCACTTTATTAGGATTGAAGACATTCCCTTCCATTTCTAGTTTGTGAAGAGTTTTCATCATGAAAGATGGTTGGATTCTGTCAAATGCTTTTCTTTACTTATTTAGATAATCGCTATTTTTTTACTTTGTTGACATTTTGTATCATATTTATTGATTTCAAATGTTAAAAAATCTTGCATTTCTGGGATTAAATCCCACTTAGTTGTAGTACCTAATTCTTTTTATATGTTATTAAATGCAGTTTGATAGTATTTTGTGGAGGGTTTAGGATCTACATTCACAAGAGACTTCGGTCTGTAGTTTTCTTTCCTTGTGCTGGCTTTGTCGGCTTTGGTATAAGAATCCTGGTACTAGCTGGGTGTGGTGGTGCACACCTGTAATCCCAGCACTTGGGAAGCAGGAGGATCATTGTGAGTTCGAGATCAGCCTGGGCCTACAAAGTGGGCTCAAGACCAGTTTGAAATGCATAGTGAGAGTTTGTCTCAAAACAAAACAAAACAAAAAAAAGAATCCTTGTACTGGTTTCATGAAGTTGATGTAAATTAACTGATATAAATTCTCTGAATGTTTGGTAGAATTCAACAATAAAGTCACCTACATTGTATTTCCTTTTGCAGGTAGCTTTTTTACTACAAGTACACCTCTACATATTGTTCAGATTGCCTGTTTCCTCTTGAGTCAGTTTCAGTAGTTGATGTGTTTATAGGAATTTACTCATTTCATATAAATTTTCTAACTTTTGTTCACTTAGGGATTTAAGGTCCCCGCTGTCTTCTTATGGTTTGAGAGCACATTTCTTTTTAGTGATAAATGGCATTGTGTTGCATGAATGTACTACAGTTAGTTCATGAATTCACCTGTTGTATTAGCTTTCCTGTGGCTGTTTTCATTTTCGATTTCTAATGACATATGAGGGACATATATTCATACTGCTTTCCATCTATGGATCCTGTTTGGTAGGATGTGGAGGACATTCTTTGATTAGAATGCAGTGAGGATGCAATGATTTGTTTATTATTTGTTAGAGTTTCTTAAGATAAGGCTTCATTATACAGCCCGGATTAATCTTGAGTTTTTGATCCTCTTGTCTCAGCCTCTTGAGCTGGGATTACAGGTGTACCTTGGATTACATGTGGAGAAGGGCAAGCCTTTACTTATCTTTGCTAGAACGTTTGGTATCTGCCCATTTGTACCAGCTACACCCTTGGTTCTCGCTGAAGAAAAGGTGACTGAGGGCTGGGGATTTAGCTCAGCAGCACAGCTCCTGCCTGGCAAGCGTGAGGTTGTGAGTTTGATTCCCATTTCCGGAAAAAAAATAAATAAATAAAAGGTGACTGAAATTGGTATTTGAGGCTGCAGTCCGAGAGGCTGTAAGCCCCCTGATCCCAGACTTTTGCCTCTGTTGTTTTTCTTGTCTCTTTACTTTTCTTGTTCATCCGCGGGCACCTCGTTCTCAGGACCTGACACACTGAGTAGGATGACTGTAGGATCTCTCTGTTCAGATCTTTTGCTCACTAATTTTATTTGTTTTACATATTGTGAATTTTTAAAATTTGCTTTGCGAACATTTTCACCCCGTCCGTGGCTTGTGTTTTCTTTCTTGTAACAGAAGAGAGATCATGAAATGACTCGAGGCAAGGACTGTTCTGCGGATTCGGTCCCTTTGTCCACCTCCGGGGACGGCGAGGGCGGTGGGGGCAGCGGAAGAAGCTGGGGTCTGAGTCGCGCGCCCCGCGGACCCCGCGCCCCGCCGTCCCTCGCGCCGGGTCCCAACCGTCCTCCAGGCGGTTCCGCAGCCGCTGGGAGC